AAGGTGACTTTTATAAGCAAGTTTGAGGCGCAGTGAACCGCAATTCGAGACACGATATTCTCCTTATAACAGGAGACTGGAATGTACGTATTGATCCATCAAAGCATACTAGGTATGTTCTGGGCTTTGGTCAACTTTGCGAAGATGGTGAACGCTGAGTGAAATTTGCTGACCTTAACCGAGTGATCGTGGGCAACACACGTTTTCAGCACCTAAGAAAACACCTAATGATCAATGCTATCGGTGTGACTTCCTAGCNNAGCTGGCAGAGCGTGCGCTGTACAAAAGCGTAGGCGGTCTCCATGCGTGGGTTCCAATCCCACCGAGGCTACTGAACTTTTCACAACTTCAACATAAAACTTCAATCTGCCAAACATCAATTTGAATAATGACTTGCTACTCAAATGACGGTCGAACGATACACCAGATGGATTACATTTTGATACGTGTTCGTTGGGCCTCTTCAGTGGATGAATGCTATTCCTACCGCAATGCTGAAACTGGAAACAGGAAGGGGACGGAACGTACTCTTGTACGCGCCCGCTTCAAGGTTCTCTAGACTGCTCGCCGGAGAAATGGCCCTCAGACCAATTCAAAGTATTTCTCTCGGAACTACCTGAGAAAGGGCCGGCGTTTCTGGACGCAACCGCTTCCAACCAAGCTCCAACTCCTCTCGACGACGAAGCTGACGACACAATGTTTCACACTGAATATTTCCATCAGAGAAGCGGAACTGGAGCAGTTAGGTAAGACTCTTTTTCACAAAAGCGACCGAATCTCCCAATGTACAATGCAGTTTACGTTATTTCGTGCTCATTCCCTTAAATCTTCGCTTCACTGTATTGAGCTCCTGTCGTTCACTTGCATGTTGAATAAAGCCTAAGTGCTAAACCTGTTTAACGGGTTTTTAAGTCGATCCATAGATCAACTATACAACTGCGTACGATAAAAAGCATAGTCATGGAGATCTACTGCTTTGAAGATAAATAGATCACTCAAGCACTGGCGCTGACGAACTACGAAAGTCTCTAAAGCAATAGGATGTGGCAGCAAAGTCATCTACCAGCGAAGTTGAGTTTAAATCTAGGTTTTGTGGACCGGTGCACAAGAGTGACAGCAGTTAGCAAAGTCCGATCGTTTAACACCACAATTGCACTACCCATTTCAGTTAACCTCGCGCATTATCTTATGCTCTTAATTCTAATGACTAACTTTAGGGTGGATGGCTTTTGGAAGAGGATAAACCAGCATCATGAATATCCCCAGTTGCCGCTGCCCACGGTCGGCGGCTTGGGGCAAGATCAGCGCAAATCGCGATCCAAATTGACTTCCATTGGCGATTGCAGTAGATATAGCAGAGTCCAGGGTTTTCTGCATCCTAGTGTACCGTGTCTAGCAAGATTTTCAGCTGCCCACCGTGTCAAAAGCGCCAGTTCGAACAGGGAAACGATTCCAAGGCAGCTTTGGTCAGATCGTTATCAGGCTTAGGAAGTATGCGGCCAAACCATTGTAGTCCGCAGCTGTACAAGATTACAACATCGGTTTCTGACCGCTTCGCTTGAGAGCTGAACTCTTCATCGTATTCCCAGAATGATTTTTGGGCACCAGTAATAGAAGGCTTATAATTGTCGACAGTCTTCGACTCCAAGTGGGCAGGTTTCGCAGACAGGACGAACTGTTGCGGATAAAACTCGTATTTTGTATTTAGGCTGATTTCATTTCTACACCAAAGGGAATTCTTCAGTTGTAGAAACGCTTTTCTTGCAGCATCGATTTGCACTGGTACTTCGTCTTTAGCCTAGCCACTGGGAAGTATGATTTCATCCAGGCATTTAAAGCTTTCGACGGATTCGATCGCCTCGCCCTTTAGTAGTAATGCACCTTCGAGATGAATTTGGATTGTCACAAACATTTTGGCCTATGATATATCCACCTCTAGGACGACCTCGGAAGCCTGTCGACTGATGCGGTCGACGAGTACTTGGAAGTTGGGCATGATCTCACTAAAGACGATAATATCAGCAAATTTTAAGTCCGTGAGCCATTCGTTCGGAGAGATCTGTGAGGTTTACTGGATGGCCCTTGAATCATGCTACTGCAATCCTAGAAGATACCAGTTTCCAGGAAAGTAAAGCATTATCAGCCCGATGGCTTAAAGCAAGTGTTGACCAGATGTTTAATGGTCGCTTTGATAAAACCAGTACGGACTATCGATACCAGGGATTTTGATACTTTTGGAGCCAGAGCCCGCTAATAACTTCAGAGAGTCATGTAATATTTAGCTGATTGTCATGCAGCGCACGTATCGTCAGCGCCCGGCTCCCGGGCATCCAAGTGTTCTTACGTTCCAGCATCCAATGTAAGAAATTTTGCGTAGTTTAGGGTGTCCAATGTACATACTTGTCACACGTGCCACGCTGATCCATCTTATCAAACTATTCGCAACCTTAGTCTGCAATAAAATCCTATTTGCTCATTATCTGTTTTCAATATTCCAATCGTTCTTCTAGGCCTTCGTAGAAATGGACAGCCAAAAGACTGATCGAAACTGCGGCACAAGAGCTCGTGTTTAGTGGTTGTACAAACTAAAATCTGACTTGCATTCATTCTAATCCCTCGTCATTAGGTACGCAATTTTGCCGAGATCCTTCAACATAACCACAAAAAGGTTTGGTATCCCCAGAGTAGATCTTGGTGTGTTAAAAATGAACACACTAATTTCCATTTTTTCTTATTTGTGCTCACGACAGTCTCCTCGATGTTAGTAACTGATCTGCTTCACGTAGGTAATGTGATAATAACCAGAAACCCAGTTAGAATCAATTTCACAAGAAATTGTTTTCAAGTCTTATGGCTGACATTCTAAACAACGTGTATTTCTGTCCCAGAAATATTCATTGAGACCCTAGCATTGGCAATTGGAAACATTATTTAGGGCTCTTTCCTCCTCACCGTTACGACTTATCAGCTGCTATTGTAACCATGATTACTCGTCGAAAATATTTCTCCTTACCCGAACACCACGATTGGCAATTCAAGTCCCTATTCAGTCCAATAACTTGAACAACAGATGGCTGTGCTTGACACTCTGTATAATCGGCGAATTACAGTCTCTCAAGATGCGTCCAGCAAAGATAAATTGATTGGGCATAAATGTCATCTACTTACTATAGTGCCTATAAATCTATCGGGAAGTTTCATTTCTGACTAGATTTTATAGAACATTGAACCTTCTTCGAAACACCTCGTTTTCGCCACACAACTGGAAGCTACATAAATGAATTGGCAAACGCCAATAAATTTGGAAACTCACCCTCCTTACGATCCGGTGTCTTTTGCCGCCACAGTCGCTTTGTAAACCAGCGGCGGATTCCAGTGGTGTTCGAATCTTCATGGGTGGTACGGGATCGATTGCCATGTCTATCACCGGAACTGCTTCTTGCACTTAAACTGGAATTTTTTGGACGCGAAGACAGCCGCTTCATCAGGCTTGCAAAAATCGACCTCTTAGGAGCAGATGCCTTGGGTGGCTGTGTCGGTGCATCACATTGTGGCTTTGAGGGGGCCGGTTCTGGAGGTGTTTGGACATCAGCCAATTCTACCTCGTCGAACTGTATATCTTCACAGTCTGAACTTGTATTGTGTTCAGTGCCACCGCTTTTTGTCGGAACTTGAAAACCTAATTTTTGGGCCATTCTATCTAGCTTGGCTGTTATATCTGNTGGTCTGATCTGATCGTTTTCCAGCTTTTCACACTTGACTGTAATTGTTTTGCTTTTGGGTGCAGCAGGTTCGAATATATCACACTTCGGTGCGACTGGATGGTCAGCCAGTGAATCCACATCAGTTTTGACAGGAGAGAAAAACGATAAAACCTGGATCGAGCTCTAGAGATGAAAATACGTTTATTTACCTCTGATTGCAGAAGGTTATGATGCATATCCATAATTTCCGAAGCAAAGTTGAGAACTGAGACAGGAGTTCAAGACAGTATTCAAGTCATCAGTGACAACTGTCGACAGAATAGCCAGCAAGATAAGATCGTGGAGTCTACAATAAAACAGTACACGAAAAATTCATGAATGAGAAGGTAAACTATGCCAAAGACACAAACTGATGATTAACCGGCTGAGAAAAATAAATATACTTGAAAGTCGGATATTAAAACTGAACGCATGCCAGAAATTTTCTACCAGAATACTACTTGACCCATCTCATCCACTGTACCCGAACCTTAGTCAATGTATCTCCACATCTAGCACTCGTTCCATGTATAAACACAGCAGCACGTACCACTACATACAAGTCTTTTATAATACCGTACCTGGCACGGTTTCTTACCAACGCTGATCTTATCATTGGGACTCTTAGACAAAATCTTTGCTAAATTGGCTTTTTGTATATGTACCGTATCATTATACGTTTTGTTACCATGGAATTTCCAAAGAGTGATTGTGTAGTAGCTGATTGTTCAACCCCCTAAAGGCAGAATGAAAGCCGCTTCTTGACATGACTTGAAGTCAGACAGTAGACCACAGGGCGTATCTCTAGAGAACGACACTTTAAGATGAAATGGGTAGGTAGACATTACCACACTGGATAAATGGACGAGGACGGTCCGAGGCGATGTTTGGGGGTGTGGCTAGTTTTGACCTGGCAAAAGATCCATTTGTGCAATGTCGCACAAGCCCATAAATACATCATGAAGTGTGAAGATCAGTCCGGCCACTAAACAAGGTTATTGATAGTATCCTATTAGCCTACAGAAAGCACTTAGATTTGGAGGGTTGAAGTTTTAAACCAACCTAAAAGGTTTTCATAAATAACTCGAGCAACCGAACCGTTTACAAACCGAACGTTCACAAACCAGGAAAAAAATGTAGAAGAAATACCATGAGAATTCAGGTGGCCAAATTTTACTGCGCATGGCTTCACAGACAACCTTTTACCCTAAGTTCGGCAATCACTCCAATGAAAGGTGAACAACACACCTTCAAAATGCAAAGCGATGCTACAGGATTGGGTGTTGTTCACCCCGGCTGTGATGCTTGATAGTCAA